GCATTAGCTTCAACAACGTCTCCAAACAGTGGAAAACTAGTTTTTGAGGTTATTTTAACAGGGGCATAATTGGAAACTTTGGCTAATTCCGATTCCAGCTTCTAGTTGAACCAAACAGTAGGAATCGAAATCCGATTCTGATTCTTGACATAACCAAACAGATTCCAAGAATGGACCATTCCGATTCCGATTCCGGTTGCGAACCAAACGGACCCTTATAAATGTATTTTTATTTTGTTATTTAATAGAAAATTATCGATAATTATTGGAGATTAAACAACTATTATTTAACTTTTGAAATTTAATTTATCGTATTTATTGTATTTTTGTTATAAATTTATTTTTAGTGATTATGTATTTTTTATAATTTATAGATTAAAGTATAAGATTACACTATTTATTGACTAATTTAGTATATTTTCAGTATTTATTATATTTTTGTCATTATTGTATTTTTATTATATATCTATTATATTTTCATTATAAACTTATTTTCAATGATTGTGTACGTTTGCTATAAATTTTCAATAATTATTGGAGATTAAACTATTGTTATTTATTAGAGATTAGACTATAAATTTAGTTAAAATTAGAAGTGTTCAATGATTGGTTCGATTCAGTTGTAGGTTGTTTCGCCAACCAAATCGATCTGGTCAAGTCCGTAGTTTGTCACTCAAAACCAATTGACCATTAGCGAAAACCCACCAACTCGGGTTGTATCGATTTGGGTATATTTTTGGTTTAGTTAGTTTGTTCAAAATATTTAAACTTAAAAAATTAACTTTAAATTTCATAAATTACAAAATAAATCTATGATATAAAATATTTTAGACTAACAAATATGAGAATTTTCCTACTTTCTCGTATTAAAAAATTAAATTTAAAATATAAAATATTAATATATATATTTATTAAACCAAAGCCGATCTAAAATACTAGAAAACTTACCAACTCGGGTTGAGTTTGATCGGATTGTTTATTAAAAAGTTCAAATATAAAACAATTATATACTCTTGTGTATTTCTATTGTTCAACTTTCGCTTAACAAAGCACAGGTCCCCATCACCATGCCTTTCCTTGCTCCATTATCCCCACTCTATATTCTCTTTGACTTTCTCTTCCCTTCCCTTCCCACCACTCCCATTAAGCCCTGTCACCCAACTACCTAAAAATATTCCTATAATCTCTCTCCTAAGATATCTCATTTAAACCAATAGGAAAGTATCATGTTGCTCCACTCCCTAATGAATTCTTAAAATGCATCCCCCCAATCTATATCCACTATCCCTTATTTAAAATATTCATATTAATTAATAAATAGTTAAATACGGTTAATATTTAATCCCACCAGTATTTAATGAGTATTAAATAGTGTTATTATCAAAAGTTAATAAATACGGTTAGTAAATTACAAAAAAATAATAAATATTGTTATTAATCAACTCATTAACAACATTTTATAGAAATTGAAAACTCTTTAAGTAATTTGTATAAAATTGAGAATTATATTTAACAATTATCAAAAAGTATAAAATTTTAGTTATTGTTATTATTATAATTAATAACCAAATACAAATGAGGGAACAAAATATTATAATGTTAGAAAATGACATTATTAATTAATTTATATTGAAAAATAAAAGATAAATTAGTGTAATTTTGTTAGTAAACTACCAAATAAGAAAATATATTTAATAATAATTAAAAAAAATTCAATAAATCCCCATAGTTACACAAATGTAATAAAATTTTCATAAAACTACATTTTCGTAAAATAACATTTTTGAAATTAAAAGATATAAAGTATCTGAAAGTTTATTTAAAATGCATTAAATAATTATTGAAAATTATTATAATATTTTGGAAATTTTAGAAAAATTTATTACATTTGATAGATTTTGGAGAATCATTGAAACATTATGTAATTTTCATTGCAAATATTGAAAATTATTAAAGATAAATGACTATGGTGAATGGAAAACTATAATTTGAACAAATAATTACACAAATTATTAAGGTAAATTAGTACAATATTGGAAAAATGAAATTATTGGTTAGCTTATATTATAAATTATAAAATAAATTAGTATAATTCTGTAAGTAAACCATTTAAAAAGAAAATAAAATATTTAATAAAAATTTAAATAATTTTGAATAAATTTTCAAAATTACACAAGTACAATAAATTTTCCAAAATGTTCATAAAATTACATTTTTTTATATTAAAGACAATTTAGTGTATTTTTAGAAATTTACCATATGGTTGATACTCAACATATCCTTTTGATCATTACTATCATCAAATTGAATATTGGGTTGATGGGGATAGTGTTTTCAACATTAGATCAAACTAGATGGTTAGGCCGAAAAAATTGGGAATCGGACACCATTTCACCTCAAAACCACTTTTTGTCCAAAAAACCGTTTATTTGGTTAGTGAACTACTGACCTGGGTGGTCGAACCGTCAACCTGGACAACAATTTTTGGTCTTTTTTTGTTCTTCTAGTTTTTTATTTTTGTTTGTCATAGCGGGTCATCCGTTCAACCCCATAACGGTTCCTTATCTAGTCCAAATTTAAAAACCTTGGACGGGGAGTGTGTGCCTTGCCTTGAGCTTGGTTTGGTGTGCAGCATGGCCTGGCCCAAGGCCCGACCCATGGCATGACATGGGCCCGTGCGGGCTCGAGCCGTGGGCTGTGCCGAACCGATCCCCCCAAATTATCCTAGAGGAGGGAGGCATGGCCCGGGATGCCTCGTGGGCCAACACGACACGATTCGCACTTTGTGCGGGCCACATATGGGTCGTGTCATGCCGGCCCAGCACGACCTAATTTATACCTCTACTTGAACCCGCCCAATACTAGGGACGGGGCAGGGAAATTAAAGGATTATCCATCATTGATGAAGAGTGGGGTGCCTTGCCCCTGAACTCGCCTGACATTGAGAAGTGGTTACTTTGTCTTAAACCCACGTGACACTGGGGATGGAGCGAGGATGGGATGCCTTGCCCTGAACCCACCTTGTTGTCATTCCTATATAACTGTTAATTATTAGTGGACTTAATAAAAATGTTAGCTTTTATAATTATTTTTATTTATTTTAAAAATAGGGAAAACTCCCGATAGGTACCCTGTACTTTAGGCCAAGTGCCGATTTAGTACCCGAACTTTAAAATGTGACAATCTAGTACCCAAACTTTCATTTTGCGGCAATGTAGTATCTACCGTTAATGGACCGTCAGTTATGTATATCATGTGACCTTATGTGCAATTTAAGACTTTTAAAAACGTCAAAATTACCCTTGGACACTGTTTACCACCTTCTTTCTCGAGAAAATGAAACAAAGCCCAAACACACTGTTCATCATCTACTTTCTCAAGAAAATAAAGATCAGGTTCCGGAAACCCAAATCTCTTGATGGAGGTGAAGCACCATCATCTAAACCCAAATCTCTTGCAGCAATGGCTCTGGTCTTGTTCATCTAATATCCAAATCCGAATCCTCCCCGGACAAAAAACAAATAAAAAAACATTCCACCTCCGAACGAAAGCTTCCACACCTCTCATCTTGTTTATTGATTGAAGAAAGAAAGCACCACCATCAGAGAGACCAGAGAAATGATGATGATCCAATCATCCATGGCGATGGGGTTTTGCGTCACCACAATCGGCGGTTGTTGCTCCGCTGGCGGCATTGCAAGTGATTATTTTTGTAATTTTTATTCATTTATCCTCAATGAATAAATGAAAGAAAATAATTAATTAGTGCTATACTCTGTAACACCTACCACTTCAAGTGTTATAAGGAAATAAATAAGAATACAGTCTGCAACCTTAGCGATCTCCAGATACTGCCTCTTCATGTGGCCCTCCTCCCAAGCTCAGGGATGGGTCACCTGGTACCTTTCGTCCGCCTTGCCGCTGCCCTTGCCCGCCACAACTACCGAGTCACCTTCATCACCACCCACCCAACTGTGTCTCTCTCCGAATCATGACTTGTTTCTCGTCTACTCTCCGCCTTTCCTCACGTCACTCCCCTAGAGTTTCATCTCCTCCCCTTGGATCATTCCAACGCCAACTCCAAGGCCCCTTTCTTCCTCCAATTCGAAGCCATTCGCCTCTCTGCTTACCTCCTCTCTCTCCCTTCCTCTCTTCCTGTTCTGATCCGCCTCTCTCTACTCTTATCACAAACGTAAGCTTAGCCTCTTCATTCATCTCCATCACGGACGAGCTTCGTCTCCCTAACTACATTCTCTCACATCAGGATGCTATCACTCTGCCTCTACTTCCCCACCATTGTCATCAACAGCGCGGCCTTTGAGGAACAAATCTGGTTTCTGAGGTATGGTGGATGTACGAGCCTTGTCCATGAAATCCATGCGAACGGAAAATCTCAAAACCGTAGGAATAAATTTTCCAATAAAAGTATAAATATAGAGGGAATGTTCAACTACTCTTTACAGTGTTTGTACTTGAATCCACATGAGCGCGGAAAAATAAATTTCGGGCTGTATAAGCAATTGTCTTAGCATTGAAGAGGAGTACGGTTTGGAGTTTAGACTTGAAGGACATTTTTATCTCTTTGCTAGTTACTTAATGGCTATTTAACGCTGGGTAATAGATTAGTCGCGTTTTAAAGTTCGGGTATTAAATTGGCACTCGGCGAAGGTACGTTAGAGGTTTTTCCTTAAAAATAATCAGAATTTTATTTTAAAATATAAAAAATTAAAAATTATTAAAATTACTACAAATTATTAATAGAACTAAATTTATTAAAAAATATTTATTTATATTGAATTAATAATTATTATTTTTTTATAAATCAAAATAATATTAAATTAAAAATAAAATTATTAAATCTTTCACCTGCTAGTAGAAATAATAATTAATAAAGTTAGTTTTAACAATTTAAAATTTAAATAGTGAAATTTGGATTGTGGTTAGGCCCGTTGGAGACATGATCCAAAAATAATGACTGGTTGAACTTGGACTGACTCGGTTCCATTGCTTAAGCTTAGTAAATTACTATTTTGCACAGGAAGATTTGTTTGTAATGGTTTACATTTCAGATATATTTTTCTCCTCAAAATGCTGTATAAATATCTGATGCGGGCCATTGTCTGATCGACTGATTTGTCTTCTGTATTCATCTAAGGTTTCCGGTAGAGTCTGAGAGTTTCTTCTGACATTCATCTGACCAGAAAAACAAGGTAAGAACAACAATTGATTTTTTCCCTCCCCAGTCTGATTTATATTCAATTTCGTTTGTACCCAAGAACTATCTTTTTCGATGAATTTTCTCGTCCATAATTTGAATTATCCATTTGCATATAAACACAGTCCGACGTGTCTTACCTTGTTTTGGGTTTCTATTCCTTTTTATCTGATTCGAGGGTTTTGGGTTAACCAACTTACACTTTCATTAGGTTTTTACGATCTGTCCCATATAACTGTTGTTTTCGTTTGCGTCGACATTATTATTCGTCCTCGTTTCTCGGGTTGGTTTGTGCGAAGTCGTTTGATTTTGCACTGATAATATTAATAGTATATTAGCCAGGAATATTTCAATTAAACGGCTCGGTTGATTATGCCCTATAAAAGTTCGAGCTTTGCAAGGACAGGTCTAATTGGCTATATTGTCTCATCTACTGTGATTCTCCAATACTCATTTACTTATTCTCTTGTTATTATACATGGCTTCACTCTTCACTCTTCACTCTTCACTCTTCACTGTCATTGTTATCGTTTCTTTGCCATTATGGGATTTTAAACGCTTTAAAGTGATGCTTTAGGGGGGTGTTCTCCAACACGAATTGTTTATCTTTTCGCAAGTTTCAAAAGCAAAATAAATCCAGCTGGTTTGAAAACAAATACAAAAACACAGAAAACATTTTATGGTTATATACGTTTTATTTATTTATTTATTTTTTCAAAACTGGAACGAAAAGCATGTTTTTGAATTCATAGTTTAAAGAACATGATTTCATGTTGTTATTTATCCTGTGTTTGGTTTGAAAGAAAAGATATGAAAAGGTAGGGAAACTCATACAAGCCAAACATAAACCTTAATATATGGGCCATATTCCATAAACTATATAATTTCTATACTACAAAATTTGTTATTGTTTTAAAACCCATCATTTTGATGGTTTAAAAAACATGTATTCTTTTTTTTTTTTTAAACAAAACCAACGTGTTTTTTTTTTTTAAGAACATGTTTTTTTTCTTTTTGTTTTGTTTTTTACTGATGTGGAAAATTCGAAATCTAAAACATTCATGTTGTAGAAGATCCTCTTATGGGTGCTAAATTTGTCGTGTTTTCCTTTCTGCTGATTATTGAAAACACGCACAGATCCACGTCATGTGAAATGTAATAATTTGTAGATTAGTTCATGATGCTTGAAATCACAAATCCATCATCTAGAATGGTGGCCTTTCTGGATTTTTAGAGAATGGAGACGTTTTCATTTGTTGGAATCACCTCATTTCTATATTTTATTGGCAATCAGAAGTTGCTATACTTTAGATAGTGAACTTGTGCTCTTAGATGCAATTGGAGACCACAATAGGATTATTTCATTATACATAGAATCCAAATGTGCAATTAATGTTTATTGAATATTTTATTTTTTTCGAATACATTGATTACATTTAAAGCAGAATTGTGTCTGAGCAACATTCATAATTGAGGTTACTTTTTCTGAAGACTTACAAAAGCCGTCTCTTTTCTAGTTTGAAATGATTCAAAGTATCAATACCACTTTTCTCAACACACCCAATCTCTGGCTTACTTATATTACATGTGTTTGAAGGAGTGTCCTCCTTACGCTATTTCTTTCCCAACTAAATGCATTTAGGAAGGTTTTCAAATATTTTCTTCCCTATATTATAATGATTTGAGGTTTCCTTCTTGCAGATCAAGGCCACTCATTGTGCTAGTCTTTTTCAGCATCCAGTGAATAATTTCTCTAGAAACAGACAGTATTTGAAGTTGGAGGTTAGCTTCTCTGCATTTTCTACATTGCGTTGCTGGGATGTAGTCATGATTTACACATTTTTTCAATTAGCATGCTTCACCATTAGAGAATTTGTCATGTGATTTTTTAAGGTTTTGGTTCTTTTTTTTTAATTGATGCCTGTAGGCTGCTTTTATTTCTTTAGTTGATTCCTCAATGTTTTAAGTTTAACTTTATTGATTGCGTGAATGCCTCAAATTTATTGCAGAGGACTAAACAACCCAGCAGAAGCTTGATTTGTTCAGTTGCAACAGAAAGACCACTAAACCAGGTTGAAAAATCCAAAATGGAAACTCCAAGAGAGATATTTCTGAAGGATTACAAGTTGCCAGATTACTACTTTCATACAGTATGTTGGATGCTTTGGGTTTTTTAAAAACCTCTTATTTAGTTATTTTTGTTTGTCTCTGCATATTGGTTGTAGCATTGGCTAGAACTTGAACATCATAGGGCTATTTTTGTGTGCTTTCTTATTTAGTTAGTTTTGTTTGTCTCCGCATATTGGTTGTAGCATTGGCTCAAACTTGAACTTCATGGGGTCATTTTTGTGTGCGTTTACATTTCTTTTCATGTCAATCTCCATTATACGAGAACTTCTTAACCTGCATTATGTTATATTTAATTCATTGTGCCCATTCTGTAACTAGGTTCAGCTTTCACATTAGCTAAGCATTTTACTTTGTGGATCAGGTCAATTTGAAGTTTTCTCTAGGCGAGGATAAAACAATTATTTGCTCAGAAATAACCGTTTTCCCCAGAGAGGAAGGTAAGTTTTCAATATCCTATAAAAAAAGGTAAGTTTTCTGTAGTTTCTTGCAACTATGATGCTCCTTTGCATAAAAAATGCCAAAGGTTAGGACCATATCCAGTGTACCCCATCCAAGACCCCAGATAGCTGGGACCAACATTGGGCAATGGCCTTTTATTGATGCTCTTTATCATTTGTTACCTAGGGTGTTCTTTCCAAAAGATAAAAATTTATTTGGCTTTCTCCAGCCTTCTCCAGATTCACTGCTTAGATTGTTGTATGCATCAAAGCCTTTCAATGAAGGTTTTCTCATGCTTGGAAATAATTTTCAATCATTCACAAGTGAGAAGTGTAACACAGTGATCAAAATGAACTTAAACCAAATATTATAGTCAAAGATCTGTATTCTATTCATAGGGGTAGCTTACTCAAATCATGTCTGAATCATGTGACTTTGGCTCATTGGCGACTCTAGGTAATAGTCAAGTGCTTGCTTCCTAGGTGCCTGTGTTGGTGGCACATTTTGGAAAAAAAAGGTTGAAGGTTTCCAGTATATTATTTTCCACATTGACATGGACCATACTTATCTTTTTTATTATTTTAGATTGAAAGAATATCAAGAAATAGGAAAAACATGCACATATTAAATCTCTAGTTCCGCAATTGGGGGGGGGGATAAACAAATAAACAAGGAAATTAAAAGGCAGGAAGGAGGGAGATGTAAGATAATAAACAAATAAACAAGAAAATTAAAAGGCAGGGCTTCTTATGGTTAAGTGGGTCAAACATAGAGAGAAAGAAGGTAATTACAAAGAAAACAAAAAAGGTGGAGGGGTGAAGCCTTGAATGAGAGGGAGGGAGAATGAGAGAGAGATGAATGAGGGCAAAAGGTAAAGGGCAGAAACCCTTTTTTCCACAAAGAGGGGAAGACACAAAGATCAAAAGACAACATAACATGAAAAGAACAAAATTAATAACATACCTGGACTGCAGGAATCAATGGATCATTGTCTATTTTGTCTTCCTCTTCTCTTCTCTTCTTCTCTCAAAATCATTGCATATCTAGGATTTTTGTCTCAGCTCTCAAAATATATAATCCACTCAAGTTGGTGTATCCATGCTGTTAAATATCATTTAATGACTTAAGGTTATCTTGTCATTTGACATACTTAGGCCAGTGCATTATGAACTAAGGCTGGCACCATATTTATATAATTTGAGGTGTCCACACAAGGTGAACCCTCTACCAAACAAAATTGCCTTGTGAATTGTGATCTATGAAGGCACCTACACAATGCAATTCCTTGACAACAATGCCAGGTAGATAATAAATAAACCAACCTTGCAACTGTACCAAAACGAATGATTTTCAAGATGTTTTGACTATATAAGTGAGGCTAAAGTGAACTTGTGGGGTCATGTCTCGTAGAACATTGTTCTTGATCTGAGAATTTATAAACCATGCTTGATGCTTTTTCTTGCTATTTTATGTTTTGTCTTGATGCTCTTCATCTAACTATTTTTAGAGGTTTCTCCACTTATCCCCTCCTTATTCATTTTTGCAATAGGTACTGCTTCACCCTTGGTCTTGGATGGGCAAGATTTAAAGCTACTATCTATTAAAGTTAATGGAGAAGAATTGAAGGTATGCAGAGGCTGTTGCTATTAGAAGTTTACTTGTCTTCAAAACTTTTTTATTGGAATTTGTAGTTAAAAATATTCTTCCACATTTTGATTTCATTATCAAATGTGCCATTATTATCATCTGCATTATCTTGTCAAGTGGGGTATTATGAGATTTCTGGGGGTCATCTAGTGTGGGTTCCCAGGCTGTGTAGAAATTTGAATAATTGGGGGTCTGAATCTTAGCTACTCTGTTAGAGGTCCTTTGTGGGATCCCAATGCATGTAGAGTGAAGATTCAAGAGGGTTGAAAGCCTGCACAGGGGTCTTTTGGGTAGGCATATTATGAAGGTCCTGGAGGTTTTGTCTATTGGATCGTTTTTTTTTTTGAAAGTTTGGGAGGCACATGTTCCATCCATAATCTCCTTTTTGTGGGCAGCCATCTTGTACAAGATTCTGACCACTAACCTAACCATCTTATTTCCAAAGGCATGGAGATGGATGATTGGTTCTTCTATGTGGATTGGAGGTGGAATCTTGAAGCACCTGTTAATTCATTATGATCTCTCCATAAAGTTGTAATCACTTTGTACAGCTCTTTAGAAGACAGTTGGTCATTCTCTGGGACCTGCCTTGTTTTCCTGTTGGTTGGTGTTGGGATACAGCAAGTGCGAAGCTATTTTGAAGTCTTCTTCTCTTTATCATATGCTGATCTTTGTGGAAGGAAAGGAACCTCAGAATTTTTGAAGGGAAGGAAGCTCCTGTGGAGGTGGCTATTGGGAAGATTGAAAACATTTATATTATGGGTCTGTATTCAGGAGTTTAGGACTTTTAGGGGGTTTTAGGTTGTGTTTGATCAGTTGTTTCTTGTTTGTTGGGGCCTGTGCATGGGGTCTCTCTGTAATCTTCTACAAGGAGATGAAACCTCTCTTTTTGTTCTCATTTCTCTCTGTGGAATTATTATTTATTAAAAAAAGTGGCAGGTAGCATGTATCTTTTTCCACCAAATGCACTCTTAAGGCCATATCTTTTGTTGCAGAATGAGTTGTCATATTATTATATGCATTCTTTTCCCAATACTTGACTGTTCTGCAGTGTGGAGGGTCTTAGAAGGTGAAAGGCAGTAATGTTTTCTTAGATAAGTGTGAAAGGCAGTAATGTTGAAAAGGTATTCTGTTGGTTTTAGACAAGCTAGGGCCAACTTATGATGCTTGATGCCCTGCGCTGGCTGAAAGTTCCAAATTCAATTAGCAGTTGAATGTTGGGCCAAGCCTGAGCTTACAATATATAATTGTAGTATAGGCATTTAGAGATGTGATACTTAGAAACATGTTTTACTTATGAACTAATAAACATTTCACATTGTGAAACAAACCTGGCTTGAAATTAAGAATAATATTTATTTCTTTGTGTTTTTGCTTTCTTTATTTTCCCCTATAGAGGGCATTCTCAGAGCTTGCATGGAATTTCTTTTACCTATGCTTTATGGTGAGCTCAACCTATTGTGATGCCGCAGCAAGCTTCTAAGCATTAGGCTATTGCTATTCATGACTGCACTTAACAGGAGTAGTCGCTCAAGATTGAACAGACACTTACAAGGAGAAGAAAAAAATAAGAAAAGAAGAGGGAGAAAAGAGAGAGAGAGAGAGAGCTCGAGAGAGATTTTGATAAAAGAGAGTTGGGTTGWTGTTTGAAACAGCCGCCCCCCTCTTAAATTTATATACATAGTATCATACTTGTAAAAGGACTGAATTGCTTACATGGCAAGATAAAGATAAGATAAAGCTGAAAAAAAGACTAATCCTAACCTTATCCTAATCTTATAAAAGGCTAGTCCTAATCTTATCATAAAGAACTAATCCTAATCATAACTTATTGCTAACATACAAATAGTAGGGACCACCTTAGTGGGGTCCACATTAGTGTTCTCTACACTCCCCCTCAAGTCAGGAATAAATGTTTGTTATTCCCAACTTGCATAGATCTGCCTCTAACTTCTTCCTTGAAACCGCCTTGGTGAGAAGGTCTGCCAATTGCATGTCGGAGGTGATGTATGGAAGACATACTTCTTGAGATGTAACCCTTTTTCTGATAAAATGTCGATCCACTTCAATATGCTTAGTTCTGTCGTGTTGTACCGGATTATGGGCTATATTGATGGCGGCCTGATTGTCACAGTACAACATCAAGGGTTTCTCATAAACAATACCTAACTCAAATAATGATCTCAACCATAGAATCTCAGCTACACCATTTGCCATGGACCTATATTCAGCTTCAGCACTGGAACGAGAAACAACATTTTGTTTCTTACTCCTCCAAGAGACAATGTTACCTCCTACAAAAGCATAATATCCAGAGGTAGATCTTCGATCATCAACACACCCAACCCAACCAACATCTGTATACACTTCTATCTTCATGTGATCATTATTCTTGAATAAAATGCCTATGCCTGGGCACCTCTTCAAATATGCTAGTATCCTCCTCTCAACTGCAAGGAGGTGAGTAGTCCTAGGAAAGTGCATATATTGACTAACCACACTGACTGCATAACTGATGTCGGGTCGAGTGAGACAAAAATAGAGAAGTTTTCCAACTAACCATTGGAACATAGCTTTATCTTCAAGGGGCTCTCCACCCTCTGCATTGATCTTGTGCTTTTTGTTCAATAGGTGTGTTAGCAGGCTTAACACCCAACTTTCCTGTTTCTTCCAGTAGGTCAAGAACATGCTTTCTTTGAGAAACAAAAATCCCATGCTTGGATCTGGCTACCTCAATGCCCAAGAAGTATTGTAGTTCTCCCAGATCTTTTACCTCAAACTCTTGATGAAGGAGTTGCTTAAGGGACTCAATCTCAGTATTATTATTTCCTGTTACTACAATGTCATCCACATATACAACAAGCAAGGTTAAGGAAGAATCCATTCTCTTAATAAACAAGGTGTGGTCTGACTGGGCCTGTACATATCCGAACCTTTCAAGGGCTTGTCTAAATCTATCAAACCAAACTCTGGGGGACTGTTTTAGTCCATATAAGGCTTTGTTCAACCGACAAACATTCTTTCCTGTCTCTGTACCATAAAATCCAGGAGGCAACTACATGTAAACTTCTTGCAAGTCTCCGTTGAGGAAGGCATTTTTAACATTCATCTGATACAACGACCAAGAGTAACTGGCTGCAAGAGATAATAAGACTCTAATAGTGGTCATTTTTGCTACTGGTGCAAAAGTTTCCAAGTGGTCAATACCATATGTCTGAGTAAATCCTTTTGCAACTAACTAGGCCTTATACCTTTCAATATAATCATCAACATTATGTTTCACAGTGAATACCCATCTACATCCAACTGGTTTCTTACCTTTAGGCTGATAAACTATCTCCCAAGTATTATTTCTGATGAGGGCATCCATTTCTACTTTTATCAATGCTTCTTGTATTGTTCTGGGAATGGGAACGTCGGCAATGGATGCAAGAAAAGACTTATAGGAGGGAGACAAATGATCGTAAGACAAGAACTGAGAAATGCTTTGAGCTGTGGATGTGATGCAACGACGCTTGCCCTTATGAACTGCTATGAGAAGATCAAGATCATCTAATGAAGGTGAAGGCTCCATGGTGGGATGCCTCTCATCTGTAGTATCTGTGGTACTTGGATCTGGCTCTACAGAAGGAACTGGGGCTACTGTGGTACCGGGATCTGGATTTGTAGAGGAGACTGGGACTGGCCTGCACTATTGATGCCCTGAATCAACCTGTCTCCATCGTCTGTGATAGACTCTCACATCCCTGCATCTCTGACAGCCCTCCCCATTACACCCCTCTTCACTTAATGGGATAGGTAAAGGAACTTCTGACGAGTTAATCCCAACCTTACTACTTTCCCCCTGAGGAGAAACCCTTGGATAATAGGGTACATCTTCAAAGAAAGTGACATCCATTGAGACAAATCTTTTCCCAGAAGTAGGTTCATAGCAGCAATATCCCTTTTGAGTTTGTGCATAACCAAGGAAAATAYATTTTGAGGCCTTAGGATCAAACTTGGAACGATGAGGGCCAAGAATTTGAACAAAGCATGTACAACCAAAGGTTTTAAGGGGAATGGTAAACAACTCTTTATCAGGATATAAGAGGGTAAATGGAGGTTTCATGTCAAGAACCCGTGAAGGAATCCTATTGATGAGATACACTGCTGTAAGAATAGCATCCCCCCAGAAACGTATAGGCACATTGGAGGTAAACATAATGCTTCTGGCTACCTCCAATATGTGTCTATTCTTTCTTTTAGCAACCCCATTTTGCTGTGGTGTATGAGGATAGGTACTCTGATGGATAATCCCATGTTCAAGCAAATAGGAGGCTAATGAGTTTGCAAATATTCTTTCGCATTATCAGGTCTAAAAATTTTGATCTTGACCCCAAATTGGGTTAAAATCATCTGATGAAAGATCTGAGTTAATGCTGGAACCTCATCTCGAGAACGCATGAGATAAATCCACGAAAAATGAGTATAATCATCAACAAACAATAGGAAATATCCGTACCCCCCATGGCAGTGGTATGGTAAGGTCCCCAAACATCAGTATGCATAATTTCAAAGGGAATATTACTTCTATTATTACTTAATGAATAGGTTGTCCTGCAGCGTTTTGCAAGTTCACAACTCTTACATTTCAAACTAGACATCTGGATAGATTCAAATAAACTAGGAAACAAACTCTTCAAAGCCCGAAAAGATAAATGACCCATCCTATTATGCTAAAGCATAGCCTGATCAACAGACTGAGAAACATAAGACCTCTTAGTCTCATTATCTTCCCAATGAGGACTCCCTCCAAGTAGATAGACTCCATTTACCTCACGGCCAGTCCCAATCACTTTCCTTGTCTCCAGATCCTGAAAAACACATCGATCAAAAAAAAAGGTTACTGAACAATTCTGTTTTTTTGTAATGCTACTAACTGAAAGCAAGTTAGTACTAAGCTTAGGAACATGCAAAACCGAAGATAAGGAAATAGCATT